GTAGCATGATGACTATGAAAGATAAAATACTGTTTTTTTTTCCTCCATATCACATGTAAATTCTATTGTATGTTTCACTTTGCTTAGTTTATCTACAAGATCGGATAAATTAGTATCAATGCGATATATTCAGAGCATCATCATTATATTTGCTTTTTTGGGTAATGTATTTTAGAGAGGAGAAGATTCGAGAAATTCCAAGAAAATGCACGCCAGTGCTTCATTTAAGGGCGATCCCTTTGGTAATCCAAATTTTTGTTCATAAAATTATTATTACATATGAAATAGTATTGATTGGGGGTGAGACGACAGATTTTTTTTATTTTAGGTGTTTGTGTGGAGAGGATTGTGCGAGATTCTTTTTTTTTAAAAAAAGATTTAAGCACTTTCCAACTGGGACGTTGGTGTAAAGAGATTTTATTTCTAGATTGGCCATGAGTTTGTGAGTCATATTTGGTACTCTTAGTTTTTCAACTAGGTTAGCTAATTTTTTTATAGCTGACTGTTCAAAGGTGATAAATTAACGTTCTTCATATGACCTTCACCAATTTGTGGGGAGCGCTGTTTATACCTGAAATAATGGGGGTTATTGGGATACCTGTAGTATATATATATATATATATATATATATATATATATATATATAATTTAATGAAAAACAGATCACTTTAAGGTACCATTACAATAATTTATTTCACCAAAATCCCTTTTAAAGGACTCCGGATCATCAGGTAACAATTCCAACAACGAAAAAGGTATTTTGGTGAAATAAATTATTGTACCTTGTAAATGGTACCTTAAAGTGATCTGTTTTTCATTAAATATTAGCTCTGTATTCATTGAGCTCTCAGGATTCCATCCTCCTTGGAATTACCCATTCGGTTTACTAAATTCTACATAACTTATATATATATATATATATATATATATATATATATATATATATATATATATATATTAATAAATACATATAACACCCCACGCCGACAGTACGACTCAGAGTTTCATGCACTATGTAATCATCAGGCAGAAAAGAACAGTTCGCAATTTAGTTAATATCTCCACGTTTCGTGGTGTTGGATAAATCATAATTGTTGTTATATATTTAAGTGCATTTTATCTATATTTAAATTTAGCTTCAAACTTACACTTAAAATTAAAAATTAGAAATTAAAATTTCTACTTTAAAATTGGTCATCTAAGAACGCTGGTAGTAAAAATACGTTAAATGTCAAGAGTGGGTAACTCTTTTATTTGCCGGGGTAACCCACTTAAAGAACAATAGGGAAAGGTAAAATAATAATAAAAACAATTGGTAAGCAATGATTAAATAATAATAATGATAGTAATGATGTTAATAATAATACATAGTAGTAATATTAATAATAATGGGTAATAGTAATAATAGATAATAATGATATGAATAATATATCTTAGTAATAATATAACATTAATAATATGATAATGATAAAAATATAAACAATATTAATATTTGTCTATATTTATGTGATGAGGTATTATGTACATTATTTACATTATTCGGACTATTGTCCTCATCTTTGTCCTCAAGGACAAATGGCACAGTGGATAAAGGCGTTGGTTTGATCCAGTGACAGGACCCAAAGAGTGTGAGTTCAATACCCGGTTAAAGCAGTGGAGAACTTTCAGAGGGAAAATTAACAGGAGATAACCGATAACTGACATCCATTAAACATGGCACGTGGAACTAAAACAGTCTCCCCCAGTAAGCGAAATAAAGGGTTAAGTTCGACATTCCAACCACCTGAAGAAGGCCGAAACGTTGTAATAAATATGGTGAAAAAGATGAGAACAATAGTCCAAATAATGTAAATAATGAATATTAATAATATAATAATAATAGTAACATTAATACTAGTATGCCTGGTGTACGAATATGAGAAAACTATATTAATCTTGGTCGACGTATTTTGGTAGATATTTGTTCCTACGTAAGAATTGGTTATTAACTCACTTCTTTTGTTTAACAGATTAGGGTTATCTCGAATCTTTTTCTTAGTCGGTCTGTTTTTTTTGTGCATCTGCTTTACGCAGGAGTATTACATCGTCGTCTCTATAGAGTCTGGTGTTTTTAATATCGTAGACGAACTTTAGTCTCCAAAGTAGCAGTACACCAATTAAATCACAAGCACCCGCAGAGTTACATGCAACCATAGCAATGCAGAAATCTGGTTGTTACGATCACTTCACAGGAATCCTTCATAGAACTGAATGAGTTTTGAGGTCTCTTTCATGATATTAATGTCTTGGTTGCTTAGCCAGATATATCGTAGCCATCAGTAGCTCCTCAGTGATAGACGTGTAGAAGTTGGAAATATCAAATTGTATAAAAGAGCATTCACTTTTCTTTTTTTTTTTAATTTTAATGAACCAACCAATGGCGTCGGCTGTATTACGCCACTGGTTAATACCGAAAGCATTTTCGATGATTCTCTTCCTTATTTTACCGATACCATTTTTTGACGGATTCATTTTGATAAATATGTTCTGTTTATGCAACTTATGGAACCTTTGGTCGATTTTTAGCTCAGTGGTTGTTTTTGTGAATTCGCAGTTAATGGAATATTCCAAATGGTCAGGCGCCTTTTTATAAATCCTATTAACCTCTTTGCTAATGGGTTTGTGGTTACTAGTTCTGTCTGACTTGATAAAAATCTTATCAGATTTGTTGATAGTGGCGATGTTTTTATTTATTTATTTTTCTGAAGGCCATTTGTAACATAGAATAAATCCTTCAAGAAGAGCAGTAGTTGCTCATCGCACAGTTTTGGTTTTTGTTGATGGCTGCGATAAATTTGGCCAACAATTACTGTCCCACACGCAACTAGGACATTAATATCATAAAACAGACCTCCAAACCAATTCTGTTCTATAAAGGTTGCCTGTGTACTAATCTTCACAACCTAGACTTTTGCATTGTTATGGATACGTTTGGATCGGCGGAGGCTTGTGAAGTAGTATTCTCAGAAGCCACATATTTTAGCAAAATTAAATTTAACTTAGTATGTGAATAAAAGGCACTTTAAGAATTAAAACATTAGATATGCAAAAAAATTAATTCACCTAACAAACCATTTGTTTATAAGATTTATAAAAATCATATCAATATTCTAAAATTTATATTTTATTTATTTATAATAGTTGTGTTGGTAATATGGATTATCCCCCCCTTGATAATCCAACTATAAAAGCTATACATTTCCGCTTGTCAGGTAGACTAGTAGTAGCATTCTTAATTTAATAAACGATTACTAGACAGAATCTCTTGTCCTGTTTTCATTACAAGTTGTTAAGTGAATTAGTTATTTTGTATGTCTAAAGTTTTTAGTTCTTAAAGTTTCTTTTATTTACATACTGTGTTTAATGTTGTTAAAATAGGTGTTTTTTTTGTTAAAACGGCTCACGAACTGCTACATTATATCTAAAAAAAAAAAAAATCTATCTAGTTGCCATCATTTCCGGTTAAATTTTGAATTCTTTTCCCATGACATCTCTCTCAACGTAAACGTTTTTTCATTGGCTAAATTATTCTCTACAATTTTTTCTGTTTTGCCTTTTTTTTTTTCCTCTTTGAAATTGTTATTTTTGATATATTACTTCTCTTGATCTTTCCTTTTCTTTTCCTTCGGAGAAGGGATAATTTCTTATGTCTTTCTTTTCCTACCTCTTTCTATTTCTCTTCTTGCATTTTCCTTTTGATTTTTTTTGTCCTCTTCTTTTTCTGTTTTAACGTGTGCATTTCTTTCTTTTCCTGTAATGGGAATTTTTCTTATGTCTTTCTAATTTTTAAAAATATAAAAAAAAAAGAGGTGATGTTTTATAAGTAGCATTAAAAATCGTTTATAACTTATCTTTGATCACCACCCGATGAGATGTCTGAATTGGACATCGAAACAAGTAAGCATTTTAGTAATGGTAACATGTATGTTCGAATGTAATAACTTATAAATAATAATTATTGCTCTACTTTTTGTATTGAGCCCTCTTTTAAATTAATGTCATGAACGTTTGAATTTATATTCGTTTCGTTCTCTTATATCATACGGAACAGCAATGATTGTTGAGTCGGAACAAAAGTTGGTTGCGTTTTTTAATTGAACGTCAATGAAAATATTTAGATATATGTGCGTTCAACCATATGTGTGGTATTTCTTTTTTTAGTACGTTACTGTATTTTTGATACACCCTCCGGATTTAATACACACAGGGTGTTGAAAACTGTCTGGATAAAGAAAAGATTTAAGTGCGTTTTACGAAAATCTCTCTCTCTCTATATATATAAAACAAAAGTTTTGTAGCACAGAATTAAATACGGCTTTGGAAATGACGGCGTGCATTCTTTTAGAGGGGCCACCCCACCCAACACTTCAGAATGATTCGTTAGAACGATAATAATCAAATCGGCGGAACTGAAAAAGATAAACATTTACCTGCCGTTCGCTGTTTTGATCATTGTTGTTCCAACGAATCTTTCTGAAGAAATGTTAAACGAAAAAGGTCCATTTAAAAGAATGCACGTCGTCATTTTTATATATATATATATATATATATATATATATATATATATATATATATATCGTAGTCATTTTCTTATATATATATATATATATATATATAAATCCCCAAGAAGATAGAATCCAGGTAGAACTCGATGTCCAGGACAGAATAAGAATATAATATGAAAGGCTTAAACACTAATATTCCATGGTTATAATTTATTACATTGGAATCGTAATTACTATCCAATTCATGAGACATACAAATTCAAAAAGATTTTCCGATTTCTTTTTGAATTTGTAGGTCTGATGAATTGGATCGTGATTACGATTCCAATGTAATAAATTATAACTATGGAATATTAGTGATTGGGCCTTTTATATTATATATATATATATATATATATAGATATATATATAGATATATATGTAAAATAGCGATATCAAAGATAGTATAAAGACAACATGCTGACAGTCATTGGGATACTGACCGAAAAAGGATCCCTCTGAAGAGTGGACGAACAGGTCCAGCAACGAAACGCTGGAGCCGGGATTCTGAAGGTAACATCAGTCAGCTAAGGGACAAACAGTAGTTATATTAATTATATATATATATATATATATTCGTAATTCGCAAATACGCTTTTAAGTAGGCGGCGCCCAAGGGGGTCGTCAGTGATGTTTTTGACTTGGTTCATCAGGGAGGTTCGGGTCTTTCAACATCATACTCCAAATCGCCCCAATCAGGGGAGATCAACCCCTGATTCCCCCTTCCAACTAAACACTAACAGCCACTGTGGCCTTTTTAAAGAATAAGAGGAAGAAAGACCACATATTCCGCACATCCGATTGGATGTTTGCAACAACCAATCCGGTGCGCGAAATATCTTTTAAATGGCCCGCGGTGGGGACTGGCTTCTTTTCTTATTACGGTGGATTGCGGTTTCGATGGATAACCGAGGTGGTAATCTTAATCTTTCTAAATCTTCTCCTTAAGTATTGTATGATTTAATTCTTTGCCGTTTTTATTTTATTTGTACTTTTTTCCTTTCTTTTGGAGGGGATACTTAAACTCAACCCTATTATCACATTTTATCGTTCAGCCTGTTTCTTAACATTATTGCATGGTAACTTTTATTGGATGCATTCTCTAAAATTAAGATAATAATTGTCCATAAACATGGCATATATATATATATATATATATATATATATATATATATATATTTCGCGTACATACATAAATGAAATTAAAAATAAAATAAAAGTACAGTAAGCACTATAATATTCCTTAATATTGATTTAAACTATATACACATTTGAAGTCGTTAAATATAATAGACGACGAAATGATCTTGAAGTAAATCTATTATTAACGAAGCTTCATCTTATATTTATATATATGTATCGCTTAAAACCGCTGACAAACTAATAAAATAAAAATAATATACAAATATATATATATGGTAATGATCGAGAGAAAAAAACACTATTAATACACTATATACGTGGTTATGATTCCGATTTAAAATATAAAAATGCGACATGTTCGTATAAATGTGAAATTGAAAAAGACAAAAGGTCTTACGTTACGTTCGAATATATATATATATATATATATATATATATATATATATATAATATTGACACTTGGAGAAATATTCATGAAAGCATGTTAGGAAAGTAATGAAATTTTTATAATAAATTTCATGAATGTTTCTCCAAATGTCAATAACTCATAACTGCTAGGATTACATATCCAAATTATATATATATATATATATATATATATGTATATATATGTGTGTGTGTGTGTGTATTTATGTATTGAGGTGCTTAACATATATATATATATATATTTATGCGCGTGTTTGTGTAAGTTAAGAGAATATCTTATTTTATTTGCAAACATTTATATAAGTGCTTAAAGACCAAATATCACTATCTATCTATCTATCTATCTATCTATCTATCTATCTATCTATCTATCTATCTACACACTCATATAACCAAGATAGTTTTCGCCTTAAATAAATCATCGATCAATGTTTCACTGGAGGATAACTCCTTTAAGGTAAGAGCAAACACTTTCAAAGTTGCAAGTCGAATGTGTCTAGAATTCCCGCCATGACAGCAGAAATTATTCTATAACAGTTTTTTTTATTATTAATTTCCAATTCCGTCGTACAAACGTAGATATTCGATTGAATCGATACTCGCCATATCTTACTTGACACGCCTATCACTCTCGGGCATATGTTCTTCTTCTTACTAAACTTTTTGTAAATAAATTGCAGAATATTGAGAAATAGAGCATTTCACTTTTTAGTCTACTTAACGTGTCCTCTCTAAACATGGGCGATCATGACTCTCATCCTATCATTTGCAGTTTATATTTTTGCTGTTCTTACCAACTCACCTTCGGTCTCAGATTGGCATAAGCTCGTCAATTATGTGAGTCACTGCCTCTCCCTGTTCCTTTTACTTTCAATATATCCATTTAGTGTCAAATTTTCCAAGCCTTTCTTCCTCATTGTGATTCCTAAAAATTTCATCTTTCTTTGTCATTCTGAATCTAAGTACGTGTTCTTTTTCTTTCCATTTCCCATTAAAAACTTCCTCGTTGGTCACAGTCTCTATCGATGTTATTCTCAGCATCCTTCTGTAGAACCACATATGTACCGCATTAATAGTAGATGAATTAAAAGAAAAAAAGTTCTAAGAATTAACTACCGACTCTCAGTTTTAGAGAAATCATTCCACTAAATAGGAGTAACATGCAAATTTATTAACAGATATGGAATATTTTTAGAATACATTACATAGAAATTTTCATTTTTGATGTCAACCGAATTTTAAATTTATTCTTTCTTAACTCTTTTGATTTACTAATTGCTTTCTTTTTTTTAAATTAATTATCTAATACGCAAAATTGAACATTTCCGATTCATGATACTAAATATGGAGTTTAGACCAAGCTGGAAAGCGATTGGCCAGAATAACTAATGTGCGTAATATTCTACCAATGAAGCATTGACAATGTCTAAATTTTGAATATAAGATCAAAACAGCGCGGAATCGGCGGCAGTGGTTTCGCTGGACTATTCGAAGCTTCGATACGCTTTTCATGCCCATATTCGATATACAGGCTAAGACGGCCTTTGGCGCGATGCTAAGCCAAAGATCGGCTATGGGTCTTACGTGAAGTTCTTCCTCCGGTTGCCTCCCAGGATCGGTACAACCACATCTCGTATAATAAGACGAATAAGAAAAAGAAACCGTCTTTTGTTGATGAATCTATGAAGATTTTTATCAATTTAAAACGTTATTTTTAGTGGATCTTTAGTTGATCCACGTATTTGAGTAGACGGCCTGTTTATTTATTAAACAAAATAATAAAATCCGTCGGATCAATATATAAAAAAATCCATTACTTTTTTGTTTACGTTTGTATAAGAAACAGATTAGACATGAAAATTTCAAGAGTCCATGACGAGATGAATTTTGTTTAAAGGCATTATTCAGCCTTGCCTGATCGGCTGTGTAGGTTAGTTGGTCTCGACTCTAAACTGTCCTTAGATCCGACGTACTCTTATGTCTAGAGTACATCGAATCTAACGGCGGTTCTCTCAGACTATAGGGACCCAGGATCTAATCTTGTTGGCGAGCGCATATTATTTTTTACTAGCAGCATGGCCCGGCGTTGCCCGTGCTTGATTCAAAAATCGTACGACTCATACAGCAATCGCTATCACTTGACTTAAAATATTTTTGCCCTTTGCCGTTCTGATGTTGCTACATGCCTTACTTCTCATACTGCGAACTTTTTCTGAGCTCTATACTAAACATTAAATCTGTTACGAAAAAAGAACTAAACAAAATGAACACAAAACGATCAGCTTTAAAAAAGAACTCGTAACTGGAAAAACCGAATGAAAAAAGAATGTTAACAACAAATACTTTTTCACACCCAACCCAGTTCTGCGGAATCAGAATCAACGTTGAGTTTAAGCAAGCGAATGAGCCAATTGAAGTAAAGTGCCATGCAGATTTAAATTTTTCCCACTTGTGACGAATGCAGCTATCGATTTTTTTTGGCATGCTAGCATGCTAGTTAACATTCGTGTCAGTCAGCTGTTGGCTCTCACGCTGGCCAATAGAATCTTCCTGCCTATTCGTGGCAGCCAGCTATTGGCTCTCACTCTGGCCAGTGCAAAATGGCCGCAAACTACATGAAAACTGCCGTAGAAGCATGAAAAAATCGATTATTTCCACTATGAAAAGTCGGTCTAGGCATTTCCGCTAACTTGGAGCATGTGCATGTAAATTTTGGTGCAAATCCGTCGAAAATTGCGGCCGTGCATTCATCACACACACACACACACACACTGCCTTTTATAGATAGATTAAAATTTCTTGAATATTCAGATCGGTAGACGAAAATAAATACATATAGTTTAATAAATAAATGGAGTGTCTACTTAAATATCCACTAAAAATAAAGTGATAAATTCTGTCAGGTTAATAAATATGAAATTCCATTATTTCTTTAGAAAATCTATGAAGACACGTTGGGATCCGAGGTGCTGAAGCTAATGACGATACGGAACACAACATTAGATTCTTCTTTTCTACTTGTTGGAAAGTCTCTTCTGTAGTTACTGTTTTTAAGATCCTCCTAATCGACCTATTAGTCTTCGACCTTTTTTGTGAAGTCAGAGAGTCTCTAATCAACTTAGAATTGGTTAAGCAGTTCATCTTGCAGGGTCTTCATTCAGAATAAAATATGATTTTGCTTCTCTAGTCAACTGCTGACGTGTTAGCGGTTATAGCTGCAACTGTCTGTCAAGTTTTAGATAAGAATAGTTGAGATTAGGCTGTTTTTTTAGCACTCAAGGGGTTACAGTGCAGATTATAGTTATCAAGAAAACAAGAGGAAAGGAGTTCTACTGCCGGGAAGGGCGAGAGAAGAAACTGTTAGAGTAGAAGAGGCGGTTACATTTAATTGTTTCGACAGTAAAAGGGTGGGACCGAAATGCCAACCTAGTAGCACGCTTAAATTATTGCAGGTGGGGTACCAGTGAAAGTAGCTCGTCAGATCAGTTGCCATAAAAATATTTGTAGAAAAGATAGAGGGAAGCTACATCTTGACGGTGAGAAAGTGACTGGAGTCGAGATGCCATATCGGGATCCATCGTATATCCGTCTTTGGATTTTGTCACGAACCACGAGATGACCAGCGACCACATGACAACAGTATTCAATGTAAGGATGAATGGTAGATTTGAAAGATGGACTCAGACAAGAAAAACTTTCTGGCGGGACACAGAACCAACTTTCCTTGCGGTAGATGAAGCAATTGATTCAATGCAGCTGTTCAACCTCAGGTCAATGTGAGACCAAGAAGCCGCAGAGAGACGATCTCGTGAAGTTGAGTATCAGCCATGCTGATAGGAGGCAGGCAAGTTTCTCTATGGTGGTTAAATGAGAACAGTTTCGTTTTGGAGGCCTTAAAGATTACAAGTCATTTCCTGCCCCAGTCAACCATAGATTGGAGGCCCTTTTTGAGAGCAACGGTCACTAACTTTGAAACTTTGACAGCAATGCCGGATTTACTATTGAGACAGGTATAAACGGTAATGTCAACTGCGTAGATGCCTACTTCAGAATTAATGACATCAGGAAGGTCGTTGATGAAGATCAGAAACAGTGTAGGACCCAGAATAGAACTCAGGGGGACACCAGCGTTCGTATGAAAGGGAATGAGGGTGAGCCTGTTCAGGGCAACCTTCATTTCAGGGTTTGACAGGAATGATTGAATTAAATCAAATAATCGTCCTGTAATATCGTATCCATGAAGCTTAAGTAGAAGGCCATCATACCAACCCTTATCAAACGCCTTAGAGATATCTAGAGCTGTAGTTCGAGCTTCGCCGTTATTATCAAGAGCTTTGTATACAAATTCAGGTAGGGCTGTAAGCACGCCAGCAGTAGACTGGGCAAAGCGGAAATCATGGGAGGTAAGTTGCTTAACCGCTTAGGCATTGATTAATACCTCGAAGACCTCGCCGAAGAGTGATAGGAGACTGATAAGACGGTAGTTAAATGGATCAGAAGAGTCTCCAGAGTGATTAAAACAGGGACAACAGATGAGGATTTCCAACAGGCTGGAAAGCAAGAGTCAGCAAGTTAGTTATATGGTTTGGAGAGAACCCTTACCTCACAGTCGGTGTGTGTGTGTGGGGGGGGTAAACGGTAGTGTCAGAGCTATGCCGCCCGGAACTTCGTTCCTGGTAGGGCCACCCAAGGCGGACAGGTCTGACACACACGCCGGCTAACAAGGGCTCTGGTGAAAATCAGAGCGTCTGCATCGGTAACCGGCGGCTTCTGGTCGTTCCTGTCTCTGCGTCTGTGGGAACCCCGCGGCAAGCAAGAACGTTATCCGAGTAGGCCTGGGTACCCTACTTCTGTAATTTATCCCAAGAATCTTCTTCTCATAACAGGAAGAAGCCAGCTCAATCCGCCCAGGGTGAATGCCGCATCAGTACAAGTACAGTTTGGAGAGAACTGGAGCCAGCCCAGGAGCACATTTCTTTAAGACTACGGCTGACCACCGTTTGCGTTATGAGAGTAATTTAGAGATGATGTCCAATATCATCGTCGAGGCTATGCTCATCTCACTCAATAGAGGCTCAGTGCTAGGGGGAAAATCAGGTTTGGGTACTCCGGACGAGTCGAGTGTTGCTTTGGATGAGAAATTCAGAGCAAAGCATTCAGCCTTATTAGCGGAAGAAGTTCGAATTGATTGAATAGAGGAGAGATTGTGGATTTGCTGTTGTTCAGCACACTCTTGCAGAGCCGCCAATCCAAAACTTTAGATCCAAGCTTGCGATATGCAATACGTTGTTTCATTCTATCAGCAAATAATAACTTTGCTTCATAGAGGACACTCTTGCACTCATTACGGGTAGAGACAAAGTGACGTCTGTTGCAATCAGACATGTCACGCCCGTACAGACGGAAAAAAGTGATTCCTATGGGCTACGACAGCTGAACAAGCAGCTGAGAACCAAGGAGTTGAGTGCGATTTAACTTTGTATTTCCTTGCTGGGTTGAAAGCCACGATGCCGGCTTTTACCCAAGAGGGGACCTCAAACTCAGGTTTTTGAATGGGAAACACCAGCAATTAAGAGGTGGTTCCACGCTCCTCAAAACCTCCTGATCAGAGGCCCTTGCTGTTGGACGTGGTTTATCGTTTTACCCAGGGCGCGGATGTAGTTTATCGTCTTACCCAGGACGCGGATGTAGTTTATCGTCATACCCAGGACGCTTCACAAGTTGAAACGTTAAGGTATTTTTTGGAAGAATTTTTGATTTGATTCAATTTTTCTTATCAAATTGCCAAATTGATGTTATCTTGAAAGGCTACTCTTCTAGATCTTTTTACATTAATGAGGGTGTATTCCTAGTTGCTCTATCGTTGAACATAGTTTGTTCTTAATTTACATCAACAACCCTCTAGATGTCGTCAGTCCTCGAATCGGTATCTATGCTGATGGCACAAATATTTGCACCTGTCTTACGGGTAAGTCTGATAGGTTAGATTAGGTCAAATCGGAAGCTGATCTCAAAAATCATCTTCAATCTATTGTTAAATTGGGCAAAAAATGTGTTTTCTTTTTAAAATTAAGAACTAATGCGAAACTGTTTTTTAATCGTCTTAAAGAACATTTTTTTGCTTCCCATCGGCATGGCTGATGCTAACCTCCTTCTCAAGCAAATGTTTTCCTCTGGCATAAAGATGGACGATTATATCGAATCACTTGCTAGGTCTGCTACTAGGTAACTTGGTTTACTGTGTCGTGATATATAGTTTTTCCCGCCAGAATTTGTTTTACACATCTACAATTCATCAGTGCTTAGCATATTACCGTCACATATGCTCTGGTGATTCTGCTACGTATATAGAAATTCTTGATAAAATCAAAAACAAGAAAACTGCAATGTTATCAGTCATGATCTGGCATCTCGGTTTCATTTACTTTCTCAACGTCGTCATGTAGATTCTCTGTTAGCTTTCCATAAATATGTTTACCTTAACTTTTTTAATGAGCTTTCCTCTTTGGTACCAAGACTATTAATTTAAACGCAGTACTCGATCGATAAGTAGGTCTCATCGTTTTACAGTTGAAATACAGAATTGTAACCATAAATTCTAACCTAATAGTTTTTTCTTTCGAACTTTTCGGATGTGGAACTGTTCTTTTGTGGAACTCTCTTTTGGCTTGATTTCCGACCAACTTTCATCTACAAAAATTTAAATGCAATATTAAACATAATCTTATCTTTCCTCAATTTTTGGTCTTTCGTGGGTAATTCAGTTCGTCCGTCGTTTGCAAAAACAGAAATGGATTAAAGTTCTTGCTTTTTTTTTTTCAGTCCTCCGCTCTACCAACTGGGCTGTCGCGAATGATCTCTTCCTTATTCTCGTTAGTATGCACGTACGCCGTCACACCAACAACGCGATCTGCCGTCTTACTCACACACTCGCTATTTATGCCTGCATCGGGAGCAACTAAAATTTGCATACGAGACTTACTTCTCGTTCGCCCGAGACTTACTTCTCGTTCGCCCGAGACTTACTTCTCGTTCGCCCGAGACTTACTTCTCGTTCGCCCGAGACTTCCAGTTTTATAAATTCAAGCTGGTTTGAATTCTTAGTCTTTTTTTTAATCTTTTTTCTCTTTGTATGTCTGCCCGCGATATAGGAATTTCGGAATAATTAAATTCTCTTTTAATGCTGGTCGCGATCTTTCAACATGATCTGACACGCCAAGCAAATTCGCTTTGCGGGAGGTAAGTCTTCTCGTTCCTCACATCTTTTATAGCCCCTTTTTCCTCATAATGCATGTTAGTGGATTCGTCGCTTTGCTTGGGGTGAAAATATTCAAAAAAGATTACGTGATGCAATAACGTCTTTGAAATAGCAAATAGAGGGTGGACTGAAAAGTTAATTCGCTGACTATGAAGGAGAGATGCTATAGCCATGGAATATTGCATGCATTAATTCCAAATATTCTTATTAATAACTGCATTATTTATTTCCAGGTAAACTGACTTCTGACTCTTATTTGAAGTTACTATGATTCGCTATTCTGCTTATTAATGTGTTATGGGGCAAGTTAGTCTTCTTGAAAGTGTGATTGTTGCATATCCTATGTAAGGCTTTTTTTTTTTTTTTTTCAGAGAGAAACATTCTCCGGTTGGGCAAGTGTATTCATACACAAGGCTGGTCTTATATAGGTGGTTGGAAGTATGAATAAAGTCAAAAGGAAACCTTTACCGTCGCGTATCGTGCACACATGGACCGTATTAAGGCAAACCTAAGGATTATATTTTGTAACTTGCACTTATAAACAGAAGTAGAAATATCTTTAGATTTTTAAATTTTTTAGATTTAAGAACGTTCTAAAATATTCTTTAGGTCAACAGTGAATATCAAGATAAACTATGGACGATGCTAAATGATGTAAGTTAGTGACTAATAACGAAAATTAGTAAATGTTATTATTGAAGATTATTTAATTTTTTTTATTTATTCCTTTTTCATTTAACTATTATTTTATTTTAATTTGATAAATTAATTTATGTATATATATTAAATAATAGGTTTTGATTTAAGCGTATTTTTAAAAAAATATGGTCATGTATGTTGGCTTGAGAAAGGAATATATTTGTTTTAGGAAAGATGATATGTAATATAATCCGGGGTTCAGGTTTACATTTTGGTAAGTTTCGATAGCAGCAGTCTCAAGAATTTTCTGTTTTGATAAGTTGGGCATTTTTTTTTTATTCCGAAGTTGTTTTAAATATATATATATATATATATATATATATATATATATATATATATATATATTTTAAATTCAAGCAACTTTTCTCCGTATATTGTAACGAAGAGTTGTGGCAGTTTATTTTAAATATATACTTGCCCCAAAATTATTGTTATGGGTATTTTTGGTTCTGAATATATCCACAATAGTTTTTGGTGTGGTTGTAATTATTTTGATGTTAAGATCGAACAAATTGTTTTGAATAGTAGATGCTAAGCAGTTAGTAGATAATGTTATATGCCTGTTTTAAGTAGTTTATTGTCATTGTATTTTAGTAGTTGTATAATTCGTATGCTTTTCTCCGAGCGTTGTGAATGAAATAATAAGGATATTTGAAGATCTAAAGGTGTTATATATATATATATATATATATATATATATGTGTGTGTGTGTGCATGTGTTCTTTTCATGCGAATATTGACGCTACAGATTTTTAATGGTCTTAAATAAAATGATTTATTACAAATTTTATACTGTTGCAGTGGTGAGAATAATAAATTATTCATATTGTCTTTTTATAGATATATTTTTTATATTTGAATTCTTAACATATATATATATATATATATATATATATATATATATATATACACCCACACGAATATACACACTTACACACATCATACTCACTGACTCCCTAATGAGCCAAATGAAAACACACACCCACAGCAATACACACGCTTACACATATCATACTCACTCACTCCCTAAGAACCAAATAACACACACACAAACACTAAACAGAGACACATCCCCTCTCCAGGACCAATAAAACTGTCAAACTGACCAAAGGAATTCAGAGAAGCATAGATCTATCCAGCTCTTATCTCAAATAACAACTTAAAAGAGAGTGTTTGACCAACACAAGGAATGTTAAAAGATTTATGTTAAAAAGATAAAAAGATAAAAAAGACAAATGAAAACTACAGAGAAAAGTTCATTTTCTCCATCAAGACATTCATTTCTGTAGTTCACTGCTACCAGCAAGCAGAAATATTTCTTCTCCCAATGATGACCATTTTGGCCGAAACTAGTCGAGGAATCTAAATGAAATAATAATAATCCCCCCCCCCAAAAAAAACAAACAAAAAAAAAAAGAAAGAATATTAATCTACAACCCAGTGTGTCTGAAGATTTTAATTTTTTAATATTTTATTGTTCAATATATATATATATATATATATATATATATATATATATATATATATATATATATATGCGTGTGTATGGATAGATATTTGCAGTCTAAATAAAATAAGATTTTGCTGAGAGCATCAGATTATTTATATATGTATACACGCACACACATTTCTTTGTGTGTGTGTGTGTGTGTGGATGCCTGTAGACCATTTGAGGCCCTAGGCTAATGAAATTATGAAACCCTTTCTCAGACGGAGCTACCCTCTAACTCAGTTGCACCCGCCTTAAGAATTTTTAAGTCCTGATATATTTTAGTGACGTTTATATAAGTTGAAGTAAACTTATTGCAAATTCTTTAAATAAACTAGAATATCTATCTTTTCTTTGACAATATTTATTTAAAAATACAACGATTTTTACTATTTACTGAAAACCAAATTAACATATTTCAATAGAACCGTAGTAAAAATACAGATATTTTGATAACCGTCATTATAACGATATAACAATCAATATAAATATGATTGTCATGTTGATATCATTTCAGTTTATGAAACTAACTGGAAGGTATAACATTTAGAAAATTGAAAACACCGCTTTAGAAAAATCTAAGTTTTAAAGATTATGAACTAAACTCAAACACGTTATTTGCTTGAAACAAACTAATTCTATTGCTTTTTGCAAAAGCAAATAAATGAGTTTGTCATAAGGATAGCAATTCAGTTTATGAAACTATTGAGAAGTTATAACATCTAGAAAATTAAATCAGTTTTATAAAACTCATTGCTTTATGAAGGGCCCTAGATTGCAGCATATACTAACCAAAATGAAAATCCAGCCCTGGTTCCTAGAATGCAGCCTATACTAGCTTAAAGGATAATCCGGCCGTGTATATATAAAAAGAATAGACTTGTCTTTATAATTCGATATTATTTTTTATTACTTTAAATGTTATATTAAGTGAACACATGTCAGTTTACTCAAAGACCCATATTCATCAAACATAACTTATATATATATATATATATATATATATATATAATGTGGTGCAATGGGTAATTGTCACCATATTATATTATAGAACCTTGAGGAGGTAGTATTTTTCCTGGGCGAACAGGGTGGCTACTATATATATATATATATATATATATATAGTTATTTTATAAAAAACAAGGTAATCCGTAAAGGGTAAACCTAAGGAGGATATAATCCAGAGAGCTCAATGTAAATCCAGAGCAAATAAATTAAATAAAAACAGACCACTTTAAGGTTCCATGTAATAAATTATTTCACCTCAGCCCTTTTAAAAGGACTGCGGATCATCAGACTTTACTTCCAAACAAGTAAAGTCTGATGATCCGCAGTCCTTTAAAAGGGCTGTGGTGAAATAGTTTATTTCATGGAACCTTAAAGTGGTCTGTTTTTATTTAAAATATATATGTATATATGGGGTGCGATGGGTAAATTGTCACCATATTATATTATAGAACCTTGAGGAGGTAGTGCTTTTCCTGGGGGACAGGGTGGCTACTATATATATATATATATATATGGGGTGCGATGGGTAAATTGTCACCATATTATATTATAGAGACTTGAGGAGGTAGTGCTTTCCCGGGTGAACAGGGTGGCTACTAGAAAACTCCATATCTGGCAACAAGACTCTGCACCATGCCACACAAGCGGGATACTCTGTAATGGTTGTCAGACAATTTTTGTGGCCGTATAAGCCTTTAAATCTGGTCACCTAAATAGCCAGACTGCAGCATTTTTGATTATTATGTATTGGGTGCAGTTCAGCGAGAGACCAACAAAACTTCTTAAAACTCCAAAGGTGAACTGAAGGCAAGGATCATGGCAGAATTCACCAACTTAAGCAAGAATACCGTCCATAAGAACTGCAGGAGATTCCGAAGATTTTTTGGAAGTAGTGGTTGCAGCCAATGGCGATTTTATTGAATAAATTTACTCTTTAGAATTTCGAGATATTTTTGTGTAACTTTGGTAAATATATCTGTGAAAATGATATGTCAGTGTTATTTTAATTTTTTTTTGTGCGTAATTTAGACGACAATTTATTCATCGCACCCTGTATTTATTAAACCTAAGCATAAAAAAAATTAAGTAATCATTGAAACAACTTGAGTAGAAATTCTTGTACAAAGAAGAATCATTCCGAAGACTTGTCAGAATAGTACGTTATTAAAAACGATCACGTAGCCAAACGATTTAATTTCTCAGTTATTGTTAATAATAATAATAATAATAATAATCAAACTATATAGAAATTATTAATGTCTATTTGTTGATATATTTCCTGTCCCATTTGTTGTGAGAAGGGATGTAAATCAACTTATGCTAGTAAATTTATGAGTGATTACTTCCCTTAATCGTTTTAGTAATATATGCAAATAAGATATTTATCTGCATTTAGCCAAGATTAGTTCCTGAGTAAAAATGAACCGTTTAATGAATCAGTTCCTTTAATCCTGTCTTAGATTGCAATCTTATCTGTTCAAGCCTTTCATGTGAGGCACGCAGATACATTTGTCTGTTAAGCGATCGTCTTGTTTGAACGTTGTCTTGAAATAGGCTTTGTCGTCACCGTCTTTTACTTTTTAATATTTCAAGATATTTGTGTAATTTTGGTAAATATATATGTTAAAATGAGTTGTGTTATTTTTATTTTTGCGTGATTGTGACTACAGTTTACCCATCGCAGCCTGTATACTCACACGCATGTGCGTGCGCGCGCGCGCACACACACACACACACACATATATATATATATATATATATATATATATATATAAATATAGGCGGCAACTCTTTAATAGACTTTCGTATAATTCGCCCGTGTGCATACTGAAATGTTCTCTACCTAAGAGATATTCCAAATGAAACCTAATATTTGATCCTCTGATCATGTGTATCGAGCCAATAAATTGATCTAGAGAGTGACTGAAAAGTAACTGCCCGTTTTAAAATACTTATAATTTATTTATTGTTGAAACTTGACTAATGCATGGAATAATAACGCAACACAAAATGTACTTAGAACAAAATGTATTGAAACAAGAAAGTGTACACAATATTTACATATAGTCTTTTGTATATTCCTGGTAAGACCGTTCCTGGAGAATGTGTTGACTGAGTCTCTGGTTGAATCTCTTGATTCCTGTATTTATCTATCCACCCACGAGGATAAAATGTGGCACAAGGCCGGTTTAAAGTGGGTATCTCCGAGCCCGTAGGCTCGGTCAAAAATATGGCCTTTCTGAACCCGCCTAGACGGGTTCAAGGCCTGTCTACCACCCCGGACGAAACCCTGCCTCTCGGCAAAGCCTCGTCCGGGTTCCTCACTACAAAATGCAGAGAGTTCGACTGAGAGTGAATCTCTTGATTCCTCCCTCTCTTCCCGGTACCAACCATATTTATATGGTCGGTACTCCACTATACAAATTAGGTGGATCCTACCACAACATTTATTAACTATGATTTTTACAAGAAATGGGTATCACAGGAAAGCCTTTAGTACGAGGTTTTATCTAAAATTCGATACGGTCACCAGATGTTATTATCAGCTTCTGGAGACGTCCAAGAATTGCGTTAATTGATTTCACCAGGAACTCTTGTAATATGGAAGACAACTTCTTGTATTCGTTCTTCAAGTTCTTTCAAAGTCTTGGTTTAGTATAGTTAACTTGCTCCTTTAACCAACCACAACGAAAAAAGGTCTCAGGGTTTTAAGTCAGGACTCTTAGTCGAACACTCATACATGAAATAGTTATTTCAATCGCCTTGTATATTCACTCAAGCACTAATCTATATATTCACACACGTGTCTATGTAATTCTCGCTGGAAATCAGCGGTTATTCTATTCTTATGAGCTTCCGAAAATCGTTAATCATAACAGGGTCCAGGATGGATAGCAAAAAAGTCTAAACATTCTCAAAACTACAATAGACAGGACATTCCAGAGAGTCATAATAACACACGTCCCGAAGGGACACGGCAAGAAGAAGAAGAAGAAAGAAACAAGAAACAAGAAGAAACAAGAAACAAGAAGAAACAAGAAGAAGAAGAAACAAGAAACAACAACGTATATCATTATAAATTCCTGCGGGTGTGCATGATGCAGACATCATGAAAAAATTAGCAATGCATTTTTGAGCCGCGAAATTCTTTCCGAAATGTTTTTTTTTCTATGAAGAACATGATGCATACTTGTTACACTTGTTTTCTTTGGCATGAAAAAATCAACAAAAAAGTGAACTTGGTCGATATGAGCAGCAAAAAAAATTGTCACTTACGACAGCATTTCTAAGCAAACTGCGTCACCGGAACTGTCAACTGCCATTTGGAGACACATTGCAATTTGAAGAGTTTAAGCTGGGTCGTGCAGGTTTGGTAGCGTCAGTTAGGATTATGACAAAAAAAGGCGGACATGTCACATGAAAAAGAAAAGTAGCTGCTGAAAGGAAATATTATATATGTCGTAATTTGATGAACATGTTTATATTTCGGTTGGCTTTCTCTTTTACCACATAAAGCGATCTATCTATCTATCTATCTATCTATCTATCTATCTATCTATCATGTTTCGTTATCTATCTATCAGTCCGTTTAATATCTGTTTAATATCTATCTGTTTAATATCTATCCATCTATCTATTTTAGTCTGTTCATATCTATTTATTTTAGTCTGTTCATATCTATTTATTTTAGTCTGTTCATATTTATTTAACTATTTTATTCTGTCATATCTATCTATCTATCTATCTATCTATCTATCTATCTATCTATCTATTTTAGTCTGTTCATATCTATCTATCTATCTATCTATCTATCTTAGTCTGTTCATATCTATCTATCTATCTATCTATCTATCTATCTATCTATTTTAGTCTGTTCATATCTATCTATCTATCTATTTTAGTCTGTTCATATCTATCTATCTATCTATCTATCTATCTATCTATCTATTTTAGTCTGTTCATATCTATCTATTTTAGTCTGTTCATATCTATTTATTTTAGTCTGTTCATATCTATTTATTTTAGTCTGTTCATATTTATTTAACTATTTTAGTCTGTCATATCTATCTATCTATCTATCTATCTATTTTAGTCTGTTCATATCTATCTATCTGTCTATCTATCTATCTATCTATCTATCTTAGTCTGTTCATATCTATCTACCTACCTATCTATCTATTTTAGTCTGTTCATATCTATCTACCTATCTATCTATTTTAGTCTGTTCATATCTATCTATCTATCTATTTTAGTCTGTTCATATCTATCTATCTATCTATTTTAGTCTGTTCCTACCTACCTATATATCTATCTATTTTAGTCTGTTCCTATCTATCTATCTATCTATCTATCTATCTATCTATCTATCTATCTATTTTAGTCTGTTCCTACCTATCTATCTATTTTAGTCTGTTCATATCTATTTATCTATCTCTTTAACGATCTATCTATCTTACAATTCAAAGCAACAGAGGAAAAAATGTCCTGATCTCCGAAAAGATTTTAATTACATTTCAACCTTGACAAGACTAAAAATGCCAACAGAAATAGAACATATAAAAACATACAACCAATCATTTGTCTGTCTCCAAACATAAACATTGCCGCTTCATTTCATTCTCAAAAAGTAAACGTATACAAAATATTAAATTACTATATATATATATATATATATATATATATATATATATATATATCTTCATGAGTATTTAAATATCGGACCCTATTCGTAACATACTTGTTAACAACACAAATATAATAGCACCGTCTACATGTAAAAAAAGGTCTAAAAATAATGGAAGCCTTATTAATAAAAACGAAAAAGCCAATACTCAATAATACAAACTATGAACATGGACACAATATCTTGACCGTGTTTTGAAAATGAAAACATTATATAAATACATATATTCCACAAACTATTTCTTGTTAACAGTTAATATATTTCAAACTTGAAAATGGCTAAATGTATAGCCGAAAGCGCTCGGATAAAAAGAACAACTGGACAGTTTTTATATAATTTATAATCCGAAAAGAAAAAAATATTATTAGATCACATGAGAAATTGTATAAAAAAAAATAAATCAAAGAACCTTGCCTGTCGTATTCAATGAAATGTGTATGAAAAAGGATTGCTGTCTAAACACACAGGCACACACACACACACACACACATATATATATGGTCTGTCTTTCTCTCTGTCTCTGTCTGTCTGTCTCTCTCCTCTCTATAATCTCTATATATATATATATATATATATATATATATATATATATATATATAAAAAATAAAAAAAGGAAAAAAGAAATGGAAATGAAAAAAAATATATATACATATATTGTCAAATGACCGGATATATTGTAGCGTCTTGTCGAATGTAATTTCAATGAAGAAATGAATTGAATAAACATATATATTTTTTCTTTTCTCAATAATTTTGTAGTTTTCAACTTAATAGTGATTAAATTTGGATTTTAAAATTGCCAGTTTTTATTTTAATATTAAATTTTATCATATAATTTTATAATTATTGGTTAGTATAAATTATTTTTTAATATTACACGTATTTTAAAGATCTGAATAGCTATTATAACATGATTTCGTTGTCAAGCTTTTGAATCTTTCTATACTTGGTTTTGATTGGTTATTCTAGCTTTTGTAACAATGTTTCCCCTAGTGTAGGATCGTTAATTAATCTGAAACTTTTAAAACCATTTATTTTATTTTCAACATCATCACTTGATAAGACACAGTGTGTTGAAACAAAATGGCTATTTTTGTAGTGATTTTATAACATAATTATGTTATAATTTTTTATAAATAATAATTATATATATGTATGTATTTTGTACACACACACACACACACACACACACACACACACATATATATATATATATATATATATATATATATATATATATATATATATATATATTTTATTTATCGAGAGAGCGAGAATGGAGACTGACAGACAGATAGTGGAATAATGGGTGAACAGAAAGTGTTTTTTCATTTTTCTTTTCATTATCTCGTTTTCATTCTTTCTTCTCCCTTCATTCTTTTACTTTTTCTACTTTCTCTCTCTTTCTTTTTTTTTCTTTCGTCCTAGTTTTATTATTTCTTTTTTTTTTCATTTTCGATTCATATTTTTCTCTATCTCTGTCTTTTTTCCTTTCCTTCTTCATTCAACTTAGTTTTCTTTTCTTTCTCTTCCTTTCTTTCTTTCTTTTTTTCACTTATTGTTTTCTTTGTTTTAACTATCTTTCTTTCTTTTTTTTTTCTGTTTCTTTTAATTCTCACTCACCATAATCTTTCTTTCGTTATTTCTTTCCTCTTTTTTGTTTTCTTCATGTTTATTTTTTTCTTCTTTTCCTTTATTCCTTTTATTCTCTACCAACAACCCCTTTTTATTTCTATTTAATTCCCCCCCCCTTTTTTTTCAATTTTATTTTTATTTTCTCTTTGGTTCCCTCTTCATTTCTTTTATACTTTTCTTCTCATGTAGTTTCTCTTTTCTCTGTCTTATTCCTTCTTTTATACAGTTTCTTCTTTTTTTTTTCCTTCCTTCCTTCCTTCCTTCCTTCCTTGCTTTCTGGCTGCTAATTTTTCTCAACAATCAATCATTGTAAAAAGAAAAAGGTCAAATATCACATCCAAATGGCAAATTGATAAAAATGAAGAATGGATATTCCTTGCTGATTTCCGTCTGGATGGATGAATACATTTCCCGTCATTGCTAGCATCGGAAGTGTGCATTTTGGCGTTTCTTTCATTACAATTTGTAAGACGTTATGACTCAACATATTAACCTTAGAATCACCGATTTGGTTGCATTCATGTCAAAGTATATATTGATGATATAGTCTGCCTATATATATATGTCTTAAAAAATGTCTTAAAAAATATATATTTGAGAAATTTATATGTTTATACATTCTTTTTGATAGATACAAATATTTAAGTAAATGCTCTGTTTATAATAAACAGTATTAACATTTACCGGCCTGAATGTTCGAGAAATTGTCATAGAAAATATTTGGATACGCATCGAGCAGATATGAATGTACGTGAGAAAAATCATGGAAAATTGTAGTTTAAAACAGTAAAATCGACTTTGCTAACCGAAACGCTCCTCTGTGACTCAATCGGTAAAAAGCACGTCAGGCTATATGACGGTTCCGTACAGGATACAGGTTCGATTCCTGTCGTAGGGACGCATATTTTCTATGACAATTTCTCGAACATTCAGGCCGGTAGATGTTGTTAATACTGTTTATTATAAACAGAGCATTTACTTAAATATTTGTATCTATAAAAAAGAATGTATAAACATAAAAATGTCTTTAAAATAATTGTCAGACTTTGTCCAATTCATTATATGTATATATATGAAAAGTTTTTTTGTATTTAAAAGATGAACGTTACGCAAAAAAAGAAAAAAAGAAAAAAGAATCGATATTGCTCTGCAGGTTCTACTTATTTTTAACTAGCAGCATGGCCCGGCGTTGCCCCTGCTTGATTCAAAAATCGTACGACTCATACAGCAATCGCTATCACGTGACTTAAAATATTTTTGCCCTTCCTTGCCTTTAAAGGAGTGCCCTTTGTCGTGCTGATGTTGCTACATGTCTTACTTCTTGCCTATCTCACACTGCGAATTTTTTTCTAAGCTCTATACTAAACATTAATTCTGTTACGAAAAAAAGAACTAAAACAAAAATGAACACAAAACGATCAGCTTTAAAAAAAGAACTCGTAACTGAAAAACGAATGAAAAAAGAATGTTAACAACAAATACTTTTTCACACTCAACCCAGTTCTGCGGAATCAGAATCAACGTTGAGTTTAAGCAAGCGAATGAACCAATTGGAGTAAAGTGCCATGCAGATTTAAATTTTTCCCACTTGTGACGAATGCAGCTCTCGATTTTTTTTGTATGCTAGCATGCTAGTTAACATTTGTGTCAGTCAGCTGTTGGCTCTCACGCTGGCCAATAGAATCTCCCTGCCTATTCGTGGCAGCCAGCTATAGGCTCTCACTCTGGCCAGTAGAAAATGGCCGCAAAGTACATGAAAACTGCCGTAGAAGCATGAAAAAATCGATTATTTCCACTATCGATGGGAGTTGGGAAATGCAAAGTCGGTCTTGGCCTTTCCCCTAACTTGGAGCATGTGCATGTAAATTTTGGTGCAAATCCGTCGAAAATTGCGGCCGCGCATTCGACACACACACACACACACACACACACACACACACATCCGGCCTTTTATAGATAGATAACTGTTATACTTCCTGGTATTTCCATTGCTGTAGAAGGAAATACCAAAAAGTTTCATCTTCGCAACAAAGAAGTAATTTTGTCAAGACCAGTAATACAATCACTCTTCACTCAACGACTTACCCGTTTAACGACTGATGACTAGCTATCTTCTTTTTTTATATGCCGCCTCCCTTCAGGACGTAGGCGGTCATAGCCCTCCACATCTTCCTGTTCTTTGTAGCTCTTAATAAGTTTTATCTTTTTGTTATTTCTCCCAAACCCTGTTATATTATCCATTTGCTCAATCTCATCAAGTAACTTACTCGCTACTTTCCTCTGTTCCTCTTTCTCTCTATCCGTCCTGTGAGTATCAGATTCTCCAAGCTCTCCTTCCTCATTACGTGCTCCAGAAATTTCAACTGATGTTAAGTATGTTTCCTGTTTGTTTTCATTTTCTCCCAAACCTCGTTGTTTCCCAAATGTTCGGTCCATGGTATCCTCAGCATCTTTCTGTAGAACCAAATTTATGTCGCTTCAAGTCACTACTTCATCTCTGAGGAGACTGTCCAACATTCGCTGCCACACAGGAGGACAGATATAATATAACAGTCCAGTACTGTTTTCTTTGTTTCTAAGGAAGTTTTCCTCTCTCTTAATACTCTGCCTTGCTTTTGGAATGCATCTTTGTCTATCCAAATACGTCTTTGGATCTGTGTCGCACTTTCCGTCCTCTGTTAGAACACTTTCCAAATATTTAAATTTCTGTACTTATTTGATTATATATCCCCGATTTTAAATTTGCATTTTGGGCTCATCCTTTTTTTGATAATTCTTCATTCTGGCATGTAGTTTATAGTTAGTCCTTTCTTCACTCTTTCCCTCGTTAAATTCTGTAGGAGCTTTTGTAGTTTCCTTTCCGTGTTTGCTATCACCACTGTGCCATCTGCATATCTTGCAGAAGGGGAAAACGGCTTACCTCCTGGAACAAAACCCTCTCGTACATGTCTTGTTTTCAAAATACATAAAATAAAATATGGCCGATCCAAAAGTTGCAATTTAAGAACATCTTGAACTCGGAGCGAAGATTTTGCGAGACGAATTTGTGACCAATGAAAATTTCCGAACCTCAGCCAGTCGATAAAATAA